CTGGAAACAGTGTTATATTGTTTATCTATTGGCTTTCCTCACCATCGCATCTGTGCGCCTCAGAAACATGAATGAATTTATCCTCATGGGGACCATAGGCAAGTATTATCCTCAGCATTACAAGTGGGGAAATTGAGCTACAGAGCTATTATTGGAGTGATTTTCAGAGGTGCTGAGTGCACAGTTCCCACTGACTTCTGAAGGAGTTGTTCTGAGTGCTCAGCACCTCTGAAATTCAAGCCAGCAGTGACCTGCCTAAGTTCTCACAGAGAGTCTGTGGCACAGCTGGGAATAGAACCCAGATCTCGTGAGTTCCAGTCCAGCAGCTTAACCACAGGACTTTCCCCTTCCTTGCTGAAGCCTACAGAACCCACGGAGAACCTAGAAGGTTGCATTAAAGCACTGTTTCCCAGAAATCATCCCTTCAGCACAAGTCACAGTGAAACAGTAGGTGGTTCCAGTTTCACAGCTGTCTAGGAGCCAATAAAGTCCAATGAAGTCCATGCACATTTACATGTATGTGGTGGAAGGGGAGTATGAGGATTCCTCAACTGAGCTAAGAGCCCCTCAAGCATTCTGCTTTGGAACCTCAGGCACTGGCCTGTAGCAGGAATAGCCTCAAAGAAAATGAGAATCAAATGCATTGAAACTAAGAAAGGGCAGTTGTCCCAGTGCACAAATGAATGTCTTTTGTGAACTTCTGCACACACAGCTCTTCTCCTAGCCTGTACTCACCTCCTCATTGACCCTCTTACAGAAGATAGCAAGCAGGAAGACAGCAGCAATGGGTGGCCCCAGGTAGCTGGTGATAGACTGTATATAATCAAAGAGCTGCCCGCTCTGAGCTGACTGCACCACAGGAATCCAAGCAATGCTGATACCAATTAAAGCTAAAATAAATAACCTGCAAATACAGCCAATAAAAAAATCTGTTAGCCACCTATTTATTAACATCAATCAGAAATACAGAAATCACAATGAACCAATCAACAATTTAACAAGTCATTGTGTTATTCAACCAGCATTAAAACAGGAGCAAAAATAACAGTAATCAGCCATCAGCACTGGGGAAAAATACCAACCGACAATGAAATCTCACCCGATCCATCAGCTCTCAGTCAACTCAAAATGAGAACTCTGCTCCCAAACAATAAATCAATAAGTCACAAATAAACACAGCAATCCATAAAACAGCAGAGAGAGATGAATAAAAGAGAAATCAGCGCATAGCTAGTGAATATTACTGATGCTGTAGCTTTGTCTAACTGTCATCTTGGAATGAAATTTAAATAGATCCCCTGGGATATCTGTACGGAATAGACACCTCAGATTAATCTTTAAATAAGAAACATGGCTGGAAACTACCCCATTGAATATCGAGAAAGACACATGAGATTAAGCAGTCAAGCCACAAGAGGTCACTGCTGCATCATATGCATTCAGTGAAAGGTTGTTCATCAAGGCACTTATAGGTGAACTTGGAAGGGTGCAGTGATGGCTTCAATATTTCATTAGGTTCCTAATGCTGGGAAGGGGCGCAGTAACACTTACCTTCCAGCCAGCATGAGCTCTCTCTCAGTTGCCCGGGATCGTATTTTGGTGTAGATGTCCATGGTGAACAGAGTGCTAGCACTATTAAAAATGGAAGTCAGGGAGCTCATGAGAGAGGCCAACATGACTGACAACATCAGACCTCGCAAACCTGAAACACAGAGAGAGACACCACCTGAGCTGGGGAGGGTCAGTCACTGGGAAAGCTCCCATAAATGACATCTCTTTGAGTGCATGGTCTGACCTCCCCCAACCCAGCTATCTGTTAGTAAATGAAGCATGCCCAGCTTATGACAACTTCATGGTACCCTACTGCAGATGGAAGGTAATGGTGACTTTTAGGTCAGGAAGCACAACATTTACAATACCACATAATACCCAGGCTGGGCTGTTAGGAGATGGATAATGCCTGTGTGTATTTACTCAGATAGGAGTCCTTTGTGTACAATGGGAGGGGTCAGAGACACCCCCACACAAACACACTCTTGTTGTTTATACTTAGTGTGACCAGACAGCAAGTGAGAAAAATCGGGATGGGGGTGGGGGGTAATAGGAGCCTATATAAGAAAAAGACCCAAAAATCGGGACTGTCCCTATAAAATCGGGACATCTGGTCACCCTATTTATACTGCTTCATTGGGTCAGTGGGAGAGCAATAACCCCAGGGGGCTGCACTTTCTCTTTCCAGACCAGTGAGTTTAGCGGAGGAACTGCAAGCATATCACTCAACACAGAGATCCTGGCAGAGGCCGCCTCTTAATAACTGGTAACTGTAGGCCAGATTTATTTCTCACACTAGGCTAACGCCAGCAGTGTCTTATTGCCTCATGTTTGCAAATAAGTAACATTGTCATGGCTAGTCTGTAACCATCTGGCATCTATGGTCACGTTGATCAGAATGCTTGGCATGTATAGGAATAAACTGTATATTGGAATGATCTAGGGCCTATGATAGCTGAGCCCTGATAACTCAAGAAACTAGTGATGTCAAATCGACTAAATGAGAATGCAGGTCTCCTAGTTCTGGTAGCTGAATTCCAGCCCTGGGACATCTCTCCCCCTCAACAACCAGCTTCTGTTAATCTGCCATCCACGTCTTACCCACACAAAAAAAAAAAAAAACCCTATCACAGCAACAGCTTACCATTCGGCATAAGGTCCACCACCATTTTTGGATAAGCAACGTTTGAACAGCCAACTTTGGTGCCACAGTATTTCTCACATTCTGAGGGCACGACACAAGCCACCGTATCTGAGAAAAAGATAACAAGATAGGGTTACCTGGGGTCATAGCAGCAAGTTACCCAAAAATCAAGAGTACTTCCCAAACCCATCTCCATGCTAAACCACTGGATTTATTTGCCTGATATCACCCTTGGCTCTGCAGCTGTGGGAAGGAATTCCATTCCTGCATCACTTCTTTCCTAGCTGGGGAATAGCGATGGTGCTGAGGTCAAGCCACCAAAACTGCATCCGCAGAACTGCACAGGACGTCGGGACTGAATAACGTGAGGACTACAAAATCAGGGCTCAGGGGCCAGGGCAAAGTAAGTGTGTGCTCTGGAAGGCCCTATCCTGCTCAGACCACCTGCTCTCCTCTGTTGTTGTACACACAGCTCAGTGGAGAGGGAAAAAACCAACTGGTATTGTGCTCACACTGAGCTCAGGCAGCATGCAAATCACAGGAATTTCCATGAGCTGGGAACACTCCTCTCTGGGATCCCGGCACCCCTCCCTCTGCCCTGTGAAGTCTGTCAGTCACATACAGGAGTGTTTCCCACCCTCTCAGGTAGAGCAGGAATGCTACCAACAAAGAGGGCAGGAAAGAGACAGACTCTGCGACTCCTGTTCTGCACCAGGGACAGTGGAGCCCTGAGCAGGGGACAGAGAAAGAGCAGTAGCTTCTTATTTTGTGGGAGCAGCTGGTGTGTGCATGTCTTTTGGGGGTCTGAGTGAGGAGAGGAACTGAAGGAGTGGAGGGGAGGAACAATGAAGAGAAAACTGAGTGGGGCTGGAAGAGGAGTGAGAAGAGAATGAGGGGGCTACAGTACTAGGTCTTACCTGTGTACAGAATTCGACTGATCATCCCAGGCATCACCATCACAAACATGGGCAGCAGCTTCAGGTACCCACACATGACACAGCCGGCCTTCACATGGGACATGTTCTTGGCTGAGAGACATCGCTGAACAATAACCTGTCAATGAGACAGTAGATGTGAATGACTCCAGCTTTGTCACCCACACACGATGCCGGGCACACCAAGGCACCAATGAGACTCTTTAAACTGTGTTCCAATTTGCCCTTTCCCATAATTAGAAAAACAAAAGGGCACTTGAAGGCCTTAGAACAAGTCTAAATGGATAAAAGGAAACACTTTTGTCCAGTGTACGTTTAACCTGAGAGACTCCCTGCCACCGGATATTATTGAACCAAGTAGCTTAGGAAGATTCAAAAGGGATTAGACATTTAAATGAATAAGAACAGCAGACACAGTTACACTAGCTAGGATACAAATTATAAAGGCTTTCAATCTGATCACCAGCTGGGGGCTGGAAGAATACATGGTATGCAATACTGCACAATTACAACAGTACATTCTCCTTCTGAAACATACCAGTTTGATAATTTTTGGAGACTGGAAGGACTGTTGACCTAAGGAGAAGAAGGAAAGGAAAGGAAAGAGATGGACAGTCCCCCAGCCTGGCATGGGGGGACTGACATACACAGACCATCTGCCCAGCACTGTTTATGCAAGGAGATTCCAGCAGCACACATACAAGATACACCTAGTACAGCTGGATGGGAAGCCAGGTCTATACCCAAATTGATAAAGGTCATTATATTTATGTTGATGTCCTATTAAGATGCCCACATTTGAAAACTAGATCCTCAATGTTCATTTAACAGGTCACAAGAAAGGGAGAAAAGCATCACACACAAAGCATATGCTCAGCATGGCATGCAAAGGGTAATAGGAACACACACACCCCACTGACTTAACATAGAAAGGGCTGAGCATTTAAAAGCTACAGAGAAAAATCACCTTGCCCTAAGGAGATAAAGGCATGGGGGGTGGGGAGGGAGAGAGATCAGTCCAACTACACTGCAGATTTTAGAATGCTCTGAATTTCCAGTTGTTGCCTTTACACTACCTGATCTGTGCACCAGTACCACAAAGCAAGGATGCTCAAGCCAAAGGTAAGCCCCGGCCATGGCAGGTCTCCAGTGATTGGGTCTCGGAAGATGTGGAAAGAATCTGCCCGAGGGGTGTAGCATTTTGGGTCAATGTTAATGTTTCCATATGAGGTGTTTCCTGGAATTGCATTCATATATTTCTCCATAAAGGCCTCATATCCTCCTACTTTGGCAAATGCTGAAAAACAACAAAGATGCTTGAAATTCCTGATGGAATGGAAGAATCCCAGGAGAAAACTCCATGCTATCAGTGTGACAAACCTGCCCAACAGAGATCAACATTGTCAGAAGACATCAAAATATGTGCTATGAACACTCTCAAAAGCAAGGAGCCACAGTGACTTTCCTTCTAAAGATTCCTTTATACCCCACTGTCCTTCCCATGCCCCAGATGCCTGCTTACACCTTGCCAGAAAGTATAATGTAGGTATAATATCTCCAGGCTGCCTGACCCAGGTGAGGACCAGAGGCAGAGTCCACCAGATGAAGTCAATCCGAAATGTTTATTGTGAAGCAGGGGGACAACTTCATTTAACTGAAAAGCTTATGAAGAGGAAGACCAAGCAGTAAGAAGCTACAATGTAAGGGAGAGGAAATTACAGCCTCACAGGGCTCCCTGCCTTTACTACCTCCTCTTGATTAATTATGTAGGCTGACCCCTAAATACAGGGTTCTGTTTCACAGGTGGACTGCATTTTAGTACCTATGTGATCTTGTGGATACCCAACCTCTTATTCACAATCACATGGCCCACCTCCTCTGCCACTCTCAATGTCATCCCTATGGTAACTACAGAACTTGCATAAATATTTAATGTATTTGAGCTTTCATCATGCAATTTAGCAGCTGGAAACAAGGCACAGCCATACTGTATGTCCAACCAGCTTCCCACTTAGCACCAGACGTCCATGGACCACAGACTCAGAACCTTGGTCCTACTTTAATATTATACATTCCCGCATGTGTTGAAGGTGCAATGGACAGGATGACAGGAGGGCTTAGCAATGCGGCTCTCCCCTTTCCCCCAGCAAATACATGAAGCAATTGGAGCGCCTCAGCTGTTAACCTGTCAGGACTCCACAGTGCTGGATCCACTTCCACAGGACACTGGGGGCTGTAGCTGATCATTCCTGCTCTCGTTCATCAGATTTACTTACCAAATCCGGTGAGAATAAAGGATCCCACCAGCATGATGATGGTCTGTAAAGTGTCTGTGTAAATCACAGCAGCAAGACCACCTAAAAGCAAAGAAAGGCCAGAAAAATGTGTGAGCCCCTCTGCTAATGCCTTAGTGGGAATCACCTCTCCTTGTCCCCTTCTCTCTCTCATGCACATACACCTCTTCCCTTTCGTGCTCTCATTTCTTTCCACTTACACCCCACTCCCCTTTTCCTCTTTCTGGATCCCCTTTTAACTTGTTTTTAATTTATCTGTCTGTTCCACAAACTCACCTGTGATCGTGTAAAGACCAGTAACAGCCAGCAGTATGATTATTGCCAAATAAAGATTTAGCCCCATGGCCATTTGGATAAATATAGCTCCAGAGAACATATCTGCCTAATAAAAGGAAAGACCATTTAGGGAATGCTTAAGAGATCATCTCTATTGATATCATCTCTTTCCCCCCACTCCCCCAAGCACTGCACTGCACAAAAGAATAAAAGCACATGCAAAATAAAGACAGATCTTCTCTCCTTGGTTGCCCAGACATGCTTTATTTTAACTGCCAGTGGATTTTTGAAGTTCACTTCTTTGTTTCTGCAGTTTTTACAATGGTTTCCAGAAATCTGTCAGTGATCCATCCTAGCCAAATCTGGCTACCCACCTCTTCAGGCCAGTGACTTTATGTATGCGAAAACAGTTCAACGAAGTTCTTAAATCCCAGACCATCCAAGTCTTTTGATAACCTTTGCATTATATCCAGGAAGAGTTTTGTTTAATAACTCTTTTGTCTTTATTTATGTCAATGCTATTCTTCAAGCCTCACCTTTCCAGTGCAACACAGATGCTTGGTATGACTGGTCTGCCTAGTTGAGGACAAACAGGAATCAAAGATGACACCTTATTTTACACAAATTCCATGAACATCTGTCAAAGTAATTGGCATTCAACTGGTCAGCTGGAGAAACAATTAGCTCTTGTAATGACATGGATTTTGCAACTTCATGAATACGGCCTGGGATTTTAGTTACCAACGCATCTGCACCAATGCAAACCCCTAAAGTAGACATAATTTGAAATCAGGGTAACCAATTCCCAACAAATTCATGCCTCATCAGTGTAATTCATATCTCTATTAGGGGTTTGCAACATGCTGCACCAATGCTGGGGGGGGGCGGGGAATTTTCCAAAGTGCCTACATGCCTTAGGAGCAGATGTGCCATTGAAAGTCATGTCACTGAATTTGTGCTCCTAAATCACTTAGGTGCTTTTGAAAATCTGATCCTAAAATCCCAGGGCAGACAAAGCTTAAGAGGGCTGTTTAGTCCTCAGCTCTACTAGATTTTAGGGCAAACATTTATTCAAGGAACACAGGGAGTGCCATCTAGTCAGGTATTCTGCCACAAGGAGAGGGGTGATATAAGTCATGCATCTGGCTAATTGTGCCATGCTGTACATAACAACACTACTGAGCACACTTTACCTTTAAAGTGCTTTACAGTCAGTAAGTAACATATCCTCATGACTCCCCAGTCAGCCTGGCAACTGAGTATCATCCTCCACATTTTACAAACAGGGAAACTAAAACAAAAATACTCAGGGGCAAATCCATTCCACAGCACTCAGCCTGAGTAGCTGGGCAGATGCTGGAGGAAGAAAACCTCTCCCCCAGGCCACTGAGGAAACTTCTCCTTGAGACTGTCACCACCTCAACCCCCCTTCACCCCTCCTGCCTTCAGGGCAAGGAGGAGACCTGTGCAACTGCAGATCCTCCAGCCCTGCTCCCACTACCAGCCACTGCATGCTCACATGCAGAGCCATTGTGGAGCTGAGCTGTGCACCACACAGGGTGTGAAACACACGCATGGTCCCACCAACAAATTCCGCCTCTGCCTTTGCCATCTGCAGCCATGGAGGCTGGGGCTGGGTTAAGATGCAGGAATTCATAAAGCTTAATCCCACAGGCTAACTGTGAGCCTATGCTGCTCTCTATGGGAGAGGATTCGTTCCTGACCCTCACAGCTGATCAGTTTATGCCCCAAAGCTTGAGGTTCATTTATTTTTAGTATTAGCTTAGTTTGCATGGCTACAAATATTACTGGTCATAAAACGATCCCGCAAGGAAACAGTTAATTATTTAACATCCTGAGCAATACGTAAACTCCTTGGATTTGCTGAATCACCTTCCAAGTTCACCTCTTCTGCCCCCCAGTTACATTATTTACTGCTAATGTTTCCTTGTTAGGGATACAATTAAAACGTTATCATATCTCTGAACGTACTAAACCTTCTCCATGCAAAAAAATCACTCCAGAGCTATGCACACATCACTCAGGAAGCACATGGCAAAACTATTAATGATAGGAGTGTCCTTTTACAACTACCATTACAGCTAAAGAATTCCAAGGAACACTTGCAACACATTCAGAAGGTTTTAAATTCCTTCAGATTATGGGGGAGCATCCGGGTACTTGTTTCCCAGATACCTAGTCTTAATTTAATCAATCAGTTACTGGTCACCAATGCCTTGCCTAGATGATTTTCTTAAAATTGCCCACCATTTCTACAAGAGCGAGGCCGCGACTGGGCTCGCCGCCCTCACCCCGGCGCTCCGGCCGGTCGGGGAGAGCGGGGCTGTGGCCGGGCTCGCCGCCCTCCCCAGGGCGCTCCGGCCAGCCGGGGAGAGCGCAGCCGCCCTCCCCCTGGTGCTCCGGCCGGCCAGGAAGAGCGGGCCCGCGGCCGGGCTCGCTGCCCTCCTCCCAGCGCTCCGGCCCGTCGGGGAGTGAGGACCCGCGGCGGGGCTCGCCACCCTCCTCCTGGCGCTCCGGCCGGCCGGGGAGAGTGGGGCCGCTGCCGGGCTCGGCGCCCTCCCCTCCCCTGCTGCGCTCCCCGCCGTGGGGCGGGGGGAGGCTTTTTTGCCTGGGTCGGCAAAAAAGCCAGAGCCGGCCCTGTTTTCAGCTACCTGAAAGCTACCATGGCAACAGCTCACACAGTGCTGTAGGCTCATGCAGCAGCTGACTGATTTAAGCTTCTCTATTCTGCTACTGCAGAACTCATCTTGGTTATGGGAGCCCCATGGAGTCAACCCTGACAGCATGGAGTTTCCTAGAGAGCAGTGGAACAGAGCCACAAAACAAGATGGGGGGGACTACGACAAAAAATACACACAACAGAAACAAAAGAGAAAAGAGGCAGAAAATGGGCAAGAAAAAGGAGAGACGGCAGCAAATTCTGCAAGGGAACATGGAAAAAGGGGAGCCCAGTGCTAGTGCATCACACAGGGGAGGAACTGTGCCCAAAAAAGGAAGGGAACCTCTGCAGCAGAGAAACTATGGAACATAGAACATTGCACATTGGGCAAAACCCCAACAATCACATGTAAAAGCGATACTGCGAAGATACAAATATGAACTGCACTGGGTGTCATAGTGACCTTGCACTTTATTTCAACTTCAGCCTTGGCAGCCACAATGCCCTGATGTGCTTTGATCATTAAACTGAGAACTTCATCAAAAGCCAGCCCCCTTGGAAGCTACCAACTCCCCCAAATTCTAAATTCCCAAAACAGAATTATTAATTAAAAGATTTGCATACAGGGTGTCGGTCTGCCAATTATGAACCACCCTATTTAATTCCCATACAGAGGATAACCATTCATGGTAGTTCATGGGATGCTCTCCCAGAGACTGATTAATATTGTTACGGGTGTTATTCCAGTTAGTCCCGGCTGGAGAATATTCACAGTGTTGTTAAACACCATTCTCCCTAATCTATAGACTTTGGGGAGAGCATTCTAGGCATCTTTATCAACAGTCATTTGTAACACATTAATTAAAATCTCCCTGATTAAGATGATACAACCCTGCCTGTTATTTTAACCCTCCTAGCAAGCAGAATGATGAAATCAACTGTGTTCATATTCCAATAAGCTGGTCTACAAAGATTAATGCTTCTATATTGGTCAGGGGACATTAGGTGTATTTCCCTCTCCATCTGAACTTTCCTTCTCATCTAAGCTTTCCTCTGGACTGGTACCCAAATTCCCCTGACAAGACCCTGCTCTTCCAGGTCTTCTGGTGGTAGCAGGTAGCAGCCCTGATATTAGCCTTCCTCCCGGAGAACCTGTTTTCTGTCCCTTCTTTTTCTTACCTCCACCAGCTGCCACAAACAACGCTAACTTAGGGCTTTCCCAAAAGTTGTGCAACCCTGAGCCATCACATTCCAAATCATATTCCTGGTAATAAACTTCCCAGTCATCCTCCTCAGGCAGGCCCAGATAAGGAGGTTCAGAGGGGTAACCCCCAAGACCAGCTGCTGCCATTTGCCCTCTTAATACCCAAAGCTATTCTTGTGGACCCTCTTGTTCTGGCTTACACTTATTAGGATCAACCAGAGTGCCTTGATATGCTGTGGTGAGCTGTTCTTCAACCACTCTGTAGGCACTTTTAAGGTCCTCTGCCTGCCACAGTAACCTCTGCTTCTCTCTTTTCTCTCCCTCACCTCCTCCCTCTCATGTTTGCACTTCCTTTTTAGGCTTTTCCAAGGTATGAACTAGGGACATATTAAGGTTGCTTTTCCATCTGATGTTTCAATTTCTTATTCTGTTCCCTCATCTTCTAAACTTTACAACTGAGCCATACATGCCATCGGTAGATAGTCCATGGCTGTAACTTTTATGTCTTAATCTTTACCTTTTCCAGTCCATTTCAGTCTGGAAATATCTCTCACACACATAAATCCAGGGGTCAGCTATATAAATTGTATCTAACGCAAGTGAACCACCCCCATGTTCTGAAATATGGAGTCCTTTATAAAGAAGTAGTGACCTGTCAGTTGATATTTCTTTCTTTATGCTCCAGTGCTGTGACGTGTCGCAGTTTTAGTGTTTCGTTATCAGTAATGTATTATATCTTATTAATTAATTAATCTCCTGCCCCCAGAAGGTGCCCTGCTGACAGGCATACTGGGTGTGTTTCAAGATGCACTTAGGCCAGTAAGCAGTTAGAGTTAAAATTTCTGCACTGCCACTGCTTTCATAGAATCACAGAATATCAGGGTTGGAAGGGACCTCAGGATAATTAGGCCACAACCCTGCCTTAACTGGCCCAAACTGATACTACAACTGATGTGCAATATCTGGGGTTCCAAATTGTAATAATGGCTTGTGTTTGATCATTAATTAAATGAGACATCAAATAATAAGATAAGTTGGTTTATTAATCAAAGATTAGACATCTAGGATTAATCAGCACAATACAGAGAGGAAACTCACTAATCCAGGGTCCAGTGTCTATCAACTCCACTGGTCCAATTTATTTTACAATTCTATCTGTTATTTCTTCTTGGTTCTTTCTTCACAGTGTTTAGTTTTGTAACTATGATTATCCAATCAAAGACAAATGTCATATTCCATCATACCCTACATTTCAGTTTTAACCTGCTTAACAACATGTTTTTAACCAGTCATTTCATTTTGTCCTTTGTGGTTTGGAATGTCTTATACATCGTCCAATCATATGTTAATATCACAATGTGAATCATGGCTCCTCGTACATTTCCATTGTATAAGCCCTTTCTTTTCATTTCAGTTACAACTTCATTAGAGAATCACAGGACTAAAAAACAACTTTAAAAATAGGTTATGAAACTAGGTCACACACAACCATATTTTCACTCTATAAGTAAGGCTACGATTATGTCACGGAGATCACGGAAGTCATGGAATCCGTGACTTCCATTGACCTCCGTGACATTTTCTGCCCCGGGGCTGGAGTTCCCAGTGAGCCCCTCCCCCCCCAGCTCCCAGCCCCCGCCCTGGTGGAGGGACCCTGCAGATGCCCCAGCTGAGCAGCTGCAGAGAGTCCCTGCTGCCTGCCATGGGTGAGCAACTGCAGGGTCCCCCTGCCACAGCTGGACAGCTGCGGGGAGCCCCCGTTGCCTGCTGGCTGGGCAGCTGGCGGACCCTGCTGCGTCCCAGCCGCGGCGGGGGGGAGAGGGAGGGGCCTGCAGGTGCCCAGCGGTGGCGGGACCCCGTAGCTGTCCAGTGGAGGTGGGCAGGAACCCCCTGCCACTGCCCAGCCATGGCCACCGGCTGGGGGACCCTGCAGTTCCCAGCTGCCCTGGGGGCGAGGGGACCCTGCAGCAGCCCAGCCCCACAGACAGGGAGACCCCTGAGCTCCCGCCCACTGCAGAGGTGGGGGACCCGGGAACCCCAGCAGCAGTGGGTGCTGAACCCGCCTACCCCTTTTGTCAGGGATATTTTTAGTGAAAGTCAGGGACAGGTCACGGGCTGCCGTGAATTTTTGTTTATTGCCCATGATCTGTCCCTGACTTTTACTAAAAATATCCATGACAAAAACTTACCCTTATCTATAAGCAATATAAAAATCTACCTACTAGTAATTCTTGATCATCTTCTCTTAACATAAGTCCCATAAAGCTTTACAAAATAAAGCCAACAGCTTCATAGGCAAGGGATGCTTGGAGCCCTAGACCTATGTGTTCACAAAACCATGCCCAATTACATGGATGCAACATTTCCAATTACAGCTACATATAAAACACAACAGTTATGTTGACAGCTCCTCACAGAAATAAATGCTACAGAAATGAAAACGCCCAAAAGCCAACTTGGGGGTTTGCCACAGACCCAGCCTATTTAATTTGTAACCTTGGTAAGAATCAATTATTGTAAGAGTGTGAGAATGAGAGCAAAAGGCCAGCTCTTTTAGGTTACATTGGACTATTATCACTCAGCTCCTATGCAGAGAGCAAAGAGTAACCTTCCATGGCAACTGCAGGAAAACAACAGAGCCAGGTCTGCCTGACCTGTGGACTTGGCTGGAAACATGATTTCAAAAGGAGGCAGAAAATCACAACTTCCTTCGCTACTGCAATGTCCTTGTTAGCCACACTTCATAGCTCAAACTGATCCACAGACAGGCTCTTTCCTCTTCCTTCCCTTCCTCTCCTTGCACTTTTCCACTCCTTTATTTTCTAACCCCATCTCTCTTCTCCCCACCTGCCTTCCTCTCTTTGGCTTCATTAGTACTAACAGGTTGCAAGTTCAGCTGAGAATACAGATGGAAGGATGTGTGGGAAAGTGGGAACAAAAACCCATTCCTTGAAAGCCCAAGGCCCCTTTTCTCCCACTAGAGCCAAAGAGAGTTACGCATACTCTGGGGCAGGAGAATTTGGCCCAGGAGTCAGAATGGGGGACTTTAGAAAGAAGACTCTAAAACAAAATGCTGAAAATGGGGTGGGTGAATGTTCCTGGGTAAGCAGCAGCAATTGTTGCCCTTGGGGGACAAAGGCAGAGAACCGGGTACTAAAATTCTGATAGTTTGGGACCTTCTCTTCGGTTTCTGTCACTGACGCCTGAGATGGCGCATACAGTATATAGTACAAAGCTCCAGCCAGCCTGACCTGTCCCAGAGGGGAACACACATGGAAACAAAATCCCGGAAAAAGAAAGCTAAATCATAACCACCATCTAGAGAAAGAGTCCCCTGGTACAATCCAACAGGCACAGACACACAGAGCTGTAGAGCTGATTTGGACGGTCAGCACTGCTAGACGGAAGAGTGACAACATGGAAACAGATTTTTACCTACCTAAATAGAGTCCAGGCAACAAATGAGAGAAGTGAACTACACGTGTAGAGAGATTTTATGTGAGCATAAAATAATAATACAGATACGAACTTCACTTAGAATAGAGGAACTAGAAAAGCTTAACTCACTGAGATCTTGGTGAAAATATAGAGGAGCAGAGAAAGGACTGACAGATACATCTGAATCCGTCGGCCACCAAAGCGCTTCTTGAGATACTCTGGCATTGTCACCACCTGCAGAGGGAGAGGGAGAAGAATTCACACTCTGAGCAAAAGACAACTACCATAGGGGGCAGAGGCTCTTCCGTTCAGATACCACACTGATAAATGCACTAGAAACGTAGATGGCCTCCAAGAAGCACAGAAAGACACTGTCAAATGCTCCTCATGTCAGGATCTCAAAGCCACAGAGACCTCCTTGTTTAAATACATACAGAAACAACTTGTATCGAGTCCCTGTCACATTCAGGTCTCTCCTCCCACTGAGAATGGTTTTGTGATGATGCTAGACCCACAAACACAGCAGGCTGAAAAAGAAAGATTAAAACTGGGAACAATAAAAGGCATAACCTAGTGTTTGTACTTACCCCAGCCCTGATGTAGATGGGTACAAACAACCAGCCAAGAGCAAATACAATTATCAGGGCCTGTAACCAAGGAAAGAACAGCTGAATTAGCCTCTGGTCCTGTCACCAGCACTTTCCACGGCCACGTATCTGGCTGCAGTGAGTAAAACGGTGGCCAGTGCAGGCACCCCTGGCCTCATTCTTTCTATTTGTCTGGCATTTTACAGTTGGAACTCCAGGGGTGAAGTCCCGGCCTTACGGAAGTCAATGGGAGTTTTGTCTTTGACTTGACTGGAACTCGGATTTCACCCTAGGTGTCCAATAGAAGCACCTGAGGAAGAGCCCCCCACTGCAGCAGACTGATTGAAGTATCAAAGAGAACAGTGCTTCAGCATTTTCCCATGTCGGTCCATGGAGAAATACGTTGGTCGTGTGTCTAACACTGGTCTTAACATTTCCTTTGGTTGCACTATCCCACTGCAGCTCCACTAGTAGTAGCAACTACCAGAGCATTAGGCTACGTCTTCACTACCCGCCGATCCGGCGGGTAGCAATCGGTTTATCGGGGATCGACTTACCGCGTCTCGTGAGGACGCGGTAAAATCGATCCCTGATCGCTCTGCCGTCGACTCCGGAAATCCACCTCGACAAGAGGCGGCAGCGGAGTCGGCGGCAGCGCAGCAGCGGTCGGCTTTCCCCCGTCCTCACCACCAGGTAAGCCGACCTAAAATACGCAACTTCAGCTACGGTATTCACGTAGCTGAAGTTGCGTATCTTAGGTCGGAACCCCGCTGTAGTGTAGACCCAGCCTTAGTGTACCCTGGGCACAGGTGCTTAAACCACTGTTTCATTAGTCGTGCCCAGAGCAGATCTAGACAACATGGTGTTGTAAACAACAGAAGCCCCCAGAAACCTCTGCATATTCACTGTTGCTACCACTGGGAAATGTTAAGGAAGTCTAGGGATGCCACCTCAGCCCCCTTTACTAGCCCCTCCATCTAGTCTCCAGGCAGCCACCGGCACCAGGAAACATTCCACTAACAAATCCAAGTGTGTTCTGAACAAGTCTCACTTGTGACTAGCTCTGCTTCTCCAAGGTGTTGGACAGCAGAGCTTACTTCCATACCCATGTCACCCACCAGACTAGCCCACTGACCTGCCTTCTGCAGTGGGAGTAGTTATAAGGTGCCCTTATACATTATAAGACATATAATACTCTCATATTTGGGACTATATACTGTAAAATATGGTAGCTCTGCTATACTACATACTGTATATTCTGTGCATCAGATATTTTATTGTAGATCGTACATTCATTTTTCTTACTTAAACGTTAGCGATTTGTTTTATGCAGACTTGTGCACATTAAAACAAATATAGAGCTAAATTCTGCTCTCAGAACTGCACTCTAGATCTCTCATCCACACGCTAGTTCTTTATCACCTCTCTGAAGTTCTGCTCATAGATCAAGCATAGGACATGCCAGAGATACTGGGCACCATGCTGCTCTCACTTCCATCCATGTACATCAAGAGTAACCCCACTGAAGTCAATGGAATTACACTGACACAAAGGCAGTATAAGTGAGAGCAGAATCGGGTCCAGTTCTCTCTCTTGCTAACAGAATCAGTGTGGATCCCAAAGCAGCATTTTCCCATGTATATTAGCATGTTTGTCAGTTCCATTGTGTTGTTCGTATTGTAATGAGCTAACTAGCTGGCTTCTGTGTGCATGGGTGAACATGTACATCACTGTCCTCTACTGGACTTAATCAAAACCTCTCAACTGTGTGTCTTAGGCTGCATACTGCTACCAACTAATGGAGAGCTCTTTAGCTCACATGACAGAGGATCCTGAAAGAGGATCCCGGTTCTATCCCTTCAGATGTCATGAAGTTCCAAGTAACCTTAGTGTGGAGCCTGGATTTGTTTCAGCATCATCAGAAAATTAAAAAAAGCGAGAGTTTAAACTAACCGATTCCAACGTGTGCATGTCTCTAAGCGAGCGTCTACTCCCCCCATGCACAAAGAAGTTGCAATCTATATGGGGCTCATTTCATACCCCGCACACTTCTATTTTAAATAAACCTAAGGGCCACATGCTTCCCTTGATGATTCAGACCAGATTACAGGAAAACACCAAACCTCCAAGATCTTTTGTGGTGTTGAATAAACTCCTTTGTGAAGTGCAACAGCCAGGGGCATGGCCACTATTATTCCAGAGGCTGAGGATCCAAGGGAAAGAGCTAGATCCCAAGGCTCTTGGCTCATTAAAGTTCTCTCATGACCAGATCTTCCTGGAGCACCAGGTAAACAGCAGTCTGCTCCAGACTCCATGCTGCCAGGAACTGACCTCCTAGTGGCTATGTCCCCAATTCCCCTCCAAGGAGTACTGATGGTGGAGAAGCTAGTGCTGTTCAGGGCAGCGGTAACATGTGATGCAAACTGCACCTTCAGACCGGCTGACCTGAAAGGGGAAATACAGCATAAAGGGGCTGTTCCCCAACTCCTGTATCTCCTCCCGGTCACACATACATCCATGGAGGGCTACAGGTAAAATTGACTGAGGAGAGGGGACACGTTACCTTTCGTCTCAACTCTCTCCCCCAGATCCTTTCCCAAACCTTTACGGTTCTTCTGCCACACTCCAGGCAGTAGTCGTAGTACTTTTAATCAAGTGAGGTGTTTGGTTATAGGTCAGGGGTCTGCCCCCAACAGACTGAGAACAGACCAGCACTGATGGTGCAAGCCTCTGCACTCCTTCGCTGCCGTCCCTTAGGGAAATGAGAGGACAAGTAGGGGGTGAAGGCAACCCTAAATCCCTCACTGCCTGGAGGAAAGCAAAATACTCCTTTCCCCCTAGTCCCAAAGCAAGCTCTCAGCAAAAATGATACAGATGAGATGAGAAAAGCTGTCCTTTCCCCCTGATAGCTGGAGATGTTGTTTATAAGTATTTGAAAAGCAATCAAAGGACAAGGATAGAATGGAGGAAATCACCAATATATTGAGAGAGAGAGAGAGAGAGAGAAACACCTCTGTGGAAACTGGTTTCCTAATATAGTAATGGCCTTTTCTTCTCCCATTGACTGGGCTGCAGGTGGGAGTGGGGAGAGAGACTGGGGGAATGGGAATCGACACAAAGTGTTCTTGTGGTGGGTTGTTCTGCCAGTCGCCAGCCCTGGGGGAGGCAGGTGCCGCTGGGTGAGGGCTCTGACAGCATTAGAGTGAATTGGATTTTTAGACAATGTGGGCTCACCTGATCTCTTTGGATACCCCCAAGGTTACAATGTTATTGAAATGTGTACCACTTACGTTCCATTCAAATCCTGCAATGGCGATTCCTGCAGCCGCTCCTGTGCCTGCCAAGCCCACAAAGTGCCCACTGCCAATGTTACTGGCAAACAGAGAAGCACCAATCTGGAAACAGAGAGAAGAACAGACTTGGGTCATAGATCCTGGGCTCAGGCCTTGGCTAAAATAAGAGCTGTATTTGTGACAAAAAAAAAAAAAAAAAAAGTGCTTATTTGGTGTTTTGAGATTTCCTGTTTGCCGTCACTATGAGACCTGATTGCCTGATTTCCCCTCTTAAAACCCAACATTGCAGCCATCATCCCTACAGACAAGGAGGACTGAGCAGGACATCACATATTAACTCATCCAGAGGGGACACTGGTGAATGATAATACTCCCTTCTCCAACTAAGGTGAGCACGTGGCCTCCACCCATACAGAATTTCAACTCTTTGGAGAACATTTCCAACTAACACATGGGTGATGTATTGCAGAATGAGCAGCCAATGATCTTGGCTAGAGGTCTGGGCAGCTAGCACAAAAGGCTGATGTCACACATCTAAGCTGCTCCAGGGACAAGAGGCTGATTCATGAAAATAAGATACATCTCATTGGGCGCAAGATCCATAAGCCTTATGGCTGGCTTGTATCTCCAGTGGGAGACGCACCCTTTTTGCACTTGGTTTGCTTCCATCAAGGGACAATAGGTTACCTGAATGGGACTCTGGGAGCTGCTATGGTAGGTCCAGCTACTGGCCCAAGGGTGCAGTACATGCGAGTGACACATGTGCGTACAAGGAATGTTGGTATCTCTAAAACCTGTAACATCCTGTATTGATCCCACAGACTGAGTAACGGGGAGAAACAGGAACTGCTGATATGTACGGATCGAAGGAAAGAAAGAAGTTAGTGCTGGATTAAAAATAAGACAGAGATTCACAAAAGGGAGATCATAACTATGTAATCCTTCTGCCAGGTGGTGGCGGCAGCAACAAAGGACAGGTTCAATATCTAGAGGTTCCTCTTAACATTACAAAACAGAACCAGCTTGAGCCCCCACCCAGAAATCTTGGGAAACAATATATTACCCACCCCGGGAGCCTCTAGAAGGTAATACTTCCCCACTTGCAAGCACTGAGTCTGAGTATAACAAAAGAAAACTTTATTAAGAGGAGATGAAATACAGCATTAATCTGGGAAAACACAGCAACAATTACTCAAAAGTATGCTAACCAAAAGTAAGCACTGGCCCCACATTGTCTTGAGCAGTAGACTTTTGCTTCAGCTTCCCACCTTGTGGTGTGAAAGTCCAATAAACAAACGCCTATTTAACAAACCACTCCCCTTTTCTGCCCTCAGCTGACAAATATGAGTGGGGTGCAGCGAAGTCCCAGAGTCCCGGGCTGTGTTCAGGTGGGTTCACCTCCTGCCCCCAGGCTCGTGGGATGGGTGAGTGATGCCTCTGCTCACCACTGTCACTGTTGCTGCACACCACTGTGAGGGCTAGTCTTCACCACCCGCCCGGATCGGCGGTAGAAAATTGATCTCTCAGGGATCGATTTATCGCGTCTCGTCGGGACGCGAAAATCGATCCCCGAATCGATGCGTGTACTCCACCAGCCCAGGTAGGAGTAAGCGCCGTCGATGGGGGAGCCGCGGCGGTCGATTTGCCGCCGTCCTCAAAGTGGGGTAAGTCGGATCAGATACGTCGAATTCAGCTACGCTATTCGCGTAGCTGAATTTGCGTATCTGAAATCGATTCTCCCCCCCCGTAGTGTAGACGTAGCCTGAGCCTTTGACCAAGAAGAGGCAGCTAAAACCAATGTCCTAAACAGCCTGATGCTAATACAAGTTTGCCACGTCTCAAAGGGGCTGATATGTTGTGCGCTGTGCCTGTTTGTTTCCAGCAGCGAGGTTGCAAGTGAAAGTCAACACCAAAGCCAGAAACTGTATTTTCTATCTTTGCTAATTTTTCCTCTCCCATTTTTGGGTGCGTTTGTCTTGTTTTGTCTTTTGGAAATGGGACTGGACTTTAAATAACAACTCAAGCCCATCTCAGCTAACTTCCCCTCTTTCCCCGCCCCAAAAGACAGTTATTACTATCTTTAATGCCATCTAAGCGACTGTCAGACAAGGGGGATTTCTTTCTAAAAGCTCTCTCCAGCTGAAGGGAAAAGGAACAAGGGATGTTTATAAAATGAGAGCCTTACTTAATACTTTATATTTCAAATGCTGTAAAGGTTTTTCCTTCTTTTTCTGTATCTTTAATAATAGGTTAAACATAGGTGAGTTTGCTAGGGAACTGGGCAGCCTGAGGTCTCTGTATACCAAACACCAAACCTTGTTTAAACTGTATAAAGATGGATGGATGGATGGATGGATGGCTCTTTTGGGGCCCATATATTCCATCTAAATTAATACAACACCACAGAGTAACATTCCCAGCTTTACACATGGCAGTATTGTATTGTCTGTGTACATTCTTTAAAGTAAAATACAAAACCAAACAAAAACCAATGCAGTTAGCAAAACATTTCCATTAAACACAACAGTCATTATTCCCAGTTCAGGACAAAGCAATGCCAACATACGGGTCTATTACTTTCTGCTTCTGTTTGTCTTTCTGACAGAGGAAAGACTCTGTACAAGAGGACCATAAGATCAGTATACACTAGTTACAAATGCAATCTAAAACCAAAATCTTTTTCAGTAATTACATGTATGTACATAAGGACAGATCTTTGAATTCAGAACGGTGAAAAGAAATTTGCTCCAATACTTTAGTAATTTGTAGCAAGAAAAAGTTATGTGGAAGAGGTTAGCTGATGGCTGGCAGCATGTATGGCAGTTACTATGTTTTAATTAAACCAGAGTATCTACATAATGCAGATGTCCAGGGAATTCTGCTTAACTTTTCGGGCTGGGATCTTCAAAGGGCTTAATGCCCTTAGGATGCTTTGATAAATCCCAGCCTTCTTCTAGATACATCATAGACGCAAGATAGAGAAACTGGGCCTTAAACTTTGGATTGTCCCAGACAGGGCTGGACACGGAATCTCATCAATCAGAGTAAGTGGGGGCTGTAACATATCCCCGCATAAACTAAAGGATTCTGGCCTATTTTCCAAGAAACTCCATGTTACTGGAAGGTTGTCCTTTCATGACAGGGTCAGCGTTACAATTTTCAGGGATCTGGCCATTAATGATCTCCCCTTATGATCATGCTGTTAGAGGTATGACAAGTTGGGTGGGGTTTTCTTCTCCTCTGGACAGACCTGACAAACAGAACATGCATAGGATGTGGGGCCCTGAGGGTACACTTGCTGAGCCTGCTTCTCTGAGGGAATTTCAGAGAAAAAGTAGCTCCCTCCACCAGTTAGCACTGACTGCATTTCAGAAAGGATATAGTGGAACTAGAAGGGGGCATGAGGGTTTGAAAGGGATGGGGTCAACTGTTCAGAGAATGAAAGATATAGTGGAAGAGAGGAGATGAAAGATGAGGGAAAGGGAAGAAAGACTGTTGAAAGAGAGAGAAGGAGAAGGTTACTTTAAAATCCTCTGACAGGTCAATTGTTGACAGGGGCTCACTAGTCAGGAAAGCACCGTCAGGCTGCAGCTATATGAAAGTTACTGTATATTTGACACATTATTCATTAATCTATTCGCCTTACTATTTTCACTGGTTTTTTGCTGCCCCGAAGTCCTGGTGCTTGCTGCCCCACAGGCCTCCTAAGGAACCTGGAAATCCTACACTTTGCCTAGCAAAGTAACGGAAACAATCCCCAGCCCCTACAGTGCACTATTCATGCCACTGATCCACCTCTTTAGGTAGGGACTTTACCCTTGTGGAATGACACTGGATTTTTTTTTAACTTAATTATTCTGGGACACAAAAGTGTATTTGTGCAAATCTACAGCTCTCCCCACCCTTAACCACTCAAACTTGCATATTGCTTAGCGCCTCTGTAAAACCTTATCATGCATCTATCAAGACTCAGCTGCCTTGAGAAAGGAGAGCAGGTTTGCTATTCTGCTGCCCTAAGTTCTCTGCAAGATCTACATTTTGCATTCTTATCTACACTCAGGTAATTTTAAAATGCCACACAATCCTTTAAACAAGAGAGATGGACATGCATTTCTCAAGCAGCATAGGCTTTGTTGTACTGTAGAATCACCTGGGTCCCTCCTCCCCACCCCCCTTGGTGCTATGCAATTACTTACATCCTCAAACCTTGCATATCCAACCATTTTTTTAGGCATCTTGCTGGGACTTCATATGCATGTGTTGGCTTGGAAAGCAGCACAGCCTCTGCTAGTTGCTTAGCAAGCCAGCCGGATACTTTAGCTTCCCCATCATCAAATATGCGGGCACCAGACCCAATGCCTACAGTCTTGGGAAGGCATCCCACTACTAGCCCCATTAGAGGGTTTTGGCAGAGTCATTAGGAGTTTGATTTACTGCACTTTTCCTTTCCTATCAAAGATTCACTTTGGTTGAATGTTTGGTTGGTCTTTTTACCTTGAACAGTGGTGGTTTCACCCTGGCCTACATCTAAAATATTTCTACCTCAGTCCACTACTTCAAGGGACAGAAAGCAAAATATTTATCCCCACTACCCACCTGCCTACAGAATTGCTAAATTAACGAACAGGAAGAACTTTATAAAATAATCCTTCACACACACAATGATCAGAGAAACCTACTCAGTGGGCAACAGCGAAACATGACTGCATTAAACTGAAGTTAAAAATTATCTACATATCCCAATTCTCTCCTTTCTTTGACTGCTGGGTGTTACTCATTTACTGTTGCCCTAAGCCTTGGCCTGTCCAGCCCATAAATTAATATATCACTGACCCGAAATGGGAGAGCTGGGTGTAAGTTCTGTTTTAAGGGAAACACACATACAAGTCTCCAAATATTTCCCACTAAGTAGTCACTAAACTCTTCAAGTTATTGTTAAACTTTTCATGCCCAGATAGTTTATGTTCTTTGGCTTTTCTGTTCCTTCAAAACTTATTTCTTAAAAAGCACAGATTAGGCTCTGATGTTTCTGTGTGAATCCGAGCTCCCTTGCCCAAAATCCGAGAACAGAAATAGGCTCCAACTCTGACGTTTTTATTATTGTGTGTGTGTTTATTTCCAGGGCCTTGTCAATACTGAGAGATTGGCCACATAATGAAGATATCAAGATTTCTGTTTGTCCAGGAGCAGATAAACACTTCCCTAAGACAATACACTGCCTCCAATTATCTGGCTGAACTCCTCACCCCTCCAACTCGCAAAAAAAAGGGAACATTCCGTTTCATTCAACAAAGAACAGGGAAAACACCATCCTCTTTTCTTTCCTTAATCCCCAGCCTACGCCCCATGGCTGCTTGGTATAGCAGGGAACAGCATGACAACTGAGGAATGAAACTAAGCCAATGGAAATGTAATTTCTAAAACAGGTTTTTGGAATTATATTTTCTTTTATTCTCTATTGCAGAAAGCAATGAATCATGCAGTCAAGTCTCAATAAGTCGAAGTCAAAAGGAACACGTACACTACGATGGGAAGAGTCCATTTATAAAGCAACATCCCCATCTACAGACTTGGGAAACGCACCCAGGTTTCCCTGGAATATTCCCAGGTTATAATCACACATGGCACTGCCCCAGGGTGAAGTCAGAAGTAGCATTTCTCTAACACTTGACATATTGCATTAGTTGGCCCAGCATCAAGCTGGTATTTTTACTTTTTGGCCTTTTTATATTTTATCCCCCCTCCCACCATATCTATTTGCACTGAGAGGCCTGAGACCGGCCTAGACTAAAACCAGGGAAAGGGTTTTCCAGAATCTCACATTCCCTTGATCAGAGTAGCCCTCCAGACTAGTATTGTTAATGTAAGTGTTTAACTGGGGATTTGAGAGCTTGCCATGTCTTTTGCTTTTATCTTGCCAGGTGCTGCCAAGGGTGGAGAGGACGAGATTTCCTGTTAGGTCACAGGAAGGTATGTAGGTATTCCAAAATGAAGGAGCTCACAGGGAGGAGGCAAAGATGGTTTTAAGCAAATGTTGATCCTAGAGACAATTCTGGCAGTACAAGATCATCCCCTCTGGGCTCTGATATGCCGCCTACATGGACAAGAGGTTTAGGCAATTTAAAGCTGGCTACATTGCTTTATGTCCCTCGGGGACTTCCCTGTGTAGGGTCTGACCCATGGTGGTTTTGTGCTGTAGACACTGGGCCGGATTCCCCACTGCCTTGCACCTTGAGCCACCATTTGAACCTGTACAAGGTGATCGTGTTTTACACTCACTATTCATAGGTATAAAGAACTATATGAAGTGCAAAGCAGCAGAGAATCAGGCCTAGTGCATTTAGTGAGGCAGGTAGGCAGGTTCTGATTCACCACTGTGTTTGTTATCCAGTTTCACGGCAGTGTCACTCCATTGATTACACAAAACAAATTTGCCTTAAAATAACTTTGAGATTCTCTGTTTCCCAATGGTTTCTATTAGGACCTGAATGTTCTCAATCCTAATCTACTCATGAGATCCTCCTCCTGCTTGGAAAGACAACGCTCTAACACAGGGGTCAGCAACCTTTCAGAAGTGGTGTGCTGAGTTTTCATTTTTCACTCTGATTTAAGGTTTCGTGTGCCAGTAATATATTTTAACGTTTTTAGAAGGTCCCTTTCTATAAGTCTATAATATATAACTAAACTATTGTTGTGTGTAAAGTAAATAAGGTTTTTAAAATGTTTAAGAAGCTTCATTTAAAATTAAATTAAAATGCAGAGCCCCCCGGACCGGTGGCCAGGACCCGGGCAGTGTGAGTGCCACTGAAAATCAGCTCGCGTGCCACCTTTGGCACGCATGCCATTGGTTGCCTACCCCTGCTCTAACATGAAAATGGAAATTCCAATCCTGCCCCAATTCAGGCAACACTGAATGGAGACACTGAGAAAGGGGCAGGAATTTCTGAAAGATGTTCTGAAAATTCCTACAGTCAGTAAATATTTATTTAGTTCTCTAAGGCCCCAATCCTGCAATTGTATCCGTGTGGACAGAGCCCTGCATCAAATCCCACTCAAGTGCAAAGGTCCTGTTGCATGGGTCCAATTGCAGGATCGGGGTAGGTTTTATAACCAATCACTGAAGTTTTCCTTCCAAGATGAACTGCCACGATGATCACGAAAGTACCATATTAGTGACACTCAGAAAATGCATCTATCACAATCTGGGATGCAATCCAGACTAGCGAGAGGTTCCATCACCACCTGCTTTGCTGCTGTAGCTCCCAACCTGGCCACTCATGAACAGCCAAGCAGCATGCACGTCACACCCCGAGTGTCTTTGTATAGCTGCAGCCTTCCAGCTACACACGAGCCACACTCCAGCTTCCAGCAGCCTTGGTTACTACTTGCAGGGTGATCCCAACACACTCCTAGTTCTGAATTTTCCCCAAAACACACACATTCTGCACTGCCCAGCCCTCTCCTGGACAGTCCCATATTAGAGGTCCACTGCCCCGTAAGGGGTCAATGTACAACAGTTTGCTACTTTAATTGGAGTTATCAAACAATTCAGTTTAAACACAACACTGGATTGGTTTTGATTAAAGAATAAATATAGGTTATTTAACTACAAAGAGATAGGTTTTAAGTGAGCACAAGTATAAGGTATTAAAAAGTTCCTAACTGTCAGGGTGGTTAAACACTGGAATAAATTGCCTAGGGAGGTTGTGGAATCTCCATCTCTGGAGATATTTAAGAGTAGGTTAGATAAATGTCTATCAGGGATGGTCTAGACAGTATTTGGTCCTGCCATGCGGGCAGGGGACTGGACTCGATGACCTCTCGAGGTCCCTTCCAGTCCTAGAATCTATGAATCTATGAATCTATGAATACAGGGATGCATTCAGTCACAGAACCACATTTATGTAGAAAGATTTCTCCTTTGCCAGGAAGTCTCATTCAATAGAGAGATTGTGACCTAATGGAGAGAGCACTGGACTAACTCAGGAGACTTGGGTTCTAGTCTCAGCCCTTGCTACTGGCCTGCTGGGTGACCTTGGGCAAGTCACTGCACCTCATAGAATCATAAAATATCAGGGTTGGAAGGGACCTCAGGAGGGCTTGTAAATCACCTGTCTGTGAATCACTTTCCCCATCTTAAAACAGGGACAATGACACTTACCTCCTCCGCAAAGTGGTTTTGGAGCTACAGCTGAAATGTGCTGTGTAAGTCCTTGGTACTATTATTATAAATGTAAACTCTGATTTGTTATCAGTAATTTATTATGAACATTCCAGCAAAGGACTAGATTGCACGGCCACAGTGAAAGCAATACAGCAGCACCACAGAAACCACTTCTACAAATCAATTCCTCCCTGTACCTTATACCTAACAGCAATCACCTCACATGAGCCAGGCCCTCGACCAAAAACATTAGGGTCCAGAGAGGTAGTAAGTACAAAACATTCCATAAATGGTGAAAGAGATGTGCAGCCAAACGTTACATGTGGACTAAAAGCGCACACACACACACACACACACACACACATACACACACACCCCATATAATACGAACTCACCGGCCACCACACCATTTTACGTCCAGCCAGGAAGAATCCTCCCACTGTCCCTCGGTTAGACAAGAACATGGCCTGGAAAAAGAATGACTGGTTAAAATTTTCAGCTCTAAACAGGCAAACTATGCCTGATGGCATAAACAACCAGGGCATCAATGAGAAAGAGGAACCAATATAATGCCCAGAAAGGGCCAGGGAAGAAAGATTTTGAAGGGAATAACATGACCTGACAATGACTGAGCAATGATTCTTATATCAATCTACAAATTAACCATTTCAAGCTTTATTGCTTCAACTTTCATTACACGAAGCCTGCAAAACCCAAATCTAAACACCGCACATGTTAAAATACAATGAACTATACAATAAAAATAAAACACAAGAAATGCATCACTAACCAAGGGCGTTGCCTGCAAACTGTCACTCATAGGAGCACTCCTTGAGGTGAGCAGGCCTCAAAACTGCTGATGTAGCGAGTTTTATGTTCATGCACTAGAGATGCCATACCGAGCTTTCTTACTCAATACTAGTGTGCTCCAGAGTTTCCCTGCAGGAATCTACTGCATGGCAATTTAACCTTTCCTGTTCTGATAAGGTACCCGCACTTATTAGCCTTTCTTCACTGCCACAGAGTAGCCAGTTAAGAATTATTTCCCTTACTCTCATTTTATATCTATCAGGAGTGACTTAACAGGAAGTTTCCCTCGCATTTTTCATAGGGCCCGATCCAAAACCCTTTGCAGACAATGGGATTCCAGTTCCTTTGGAACAGGCCCAGAGAGGGCCTGAGCAAAAGTGAGCCAGATTGCAGATCCTAATATAGATGCAAGAAAATAAACAAACAGGGACATGTTTCACTACATACAATAGTTGAATCAATATTTGTCTAATGGAAAAGGAAAACATTGGTGGAGAGACACATTTAATATTAAGCTTCTTAGCAACTATTCTAAACAAGTAGAAACTTCAATGCTCCAGTGCCTGACATGCCACCTGCCAGCCCTCTTCTGACCCAGGAGGTTATGTTACAAAGAATTACAGTCAATAATAAATTACAATAATCATACTTCAGGTCAGATTGTACCTTTAAGGCACAAGCCTGATTCCCTCCCAGAGCTCTCCAAGATGCAATGGAGGTGTTTCTGACACAACACCTCTTAGAGAAGAGCATGCTGCACCCTTCTGAGTCAATGGACTGGCTAGAGTGGGCTGATGGGGGGGCTCAAGGTCCTGCCTCCTCCCCATTCTTCCCTGCTCCTTTGAGGTTGCTTGCGCCCCAGGGTGCACTAGGAAGAAGCAGTGCTCTCATGAAAGGTATGGGCCCTCAATTGTGTTTTGCTTCTGTGGGAGGTTGGGTTGGTGGGGGGAAATAAATGGACAGGCTGTCTGGTACAATCCAACCCTTGGCATCCAATACACTCAGCCAGAGGTACAGGTGCAGGTACTTCACATCTTCAAAGTGCTGAAAAAACATTAACTAGTTCATTGGCATCAAAAGTTAATCACTTTTCAAAACTCTGTCAGGCTGCTAGTGTGGAAGATTTTGTCTGCAGCTGCCTGCTCTGTTCTATGGCATGAACTCCTGGGTTATTTCAGGGGAGTGCACAGGTCACTGAGGGGCAGGTTTCCCTGACTCATTCTGTTAACTGCTGGCTCTTTCCTCAAGGGACTAGCAGCATTTTCCCCGTGGACAGTCTCTGATGTCTCCTCAGATAGAATACAGACTCTGTTCCTGAAAGGGATATCAGCTCTTCAGTCTAGTGACACACAAGTGTTTTCCACTAAGGCAGCATCACAACGAAAATTATCTGCCTTTTTCCTTTGAACATTTCAGTATCTAGACTTACTTTACACATCTGAAGAAGTGAGGTTCTTACCTACGAAAGCTTATGCTCCCAATACTTCTGTTAGTCTTAAAGGTGCCACAGGACCCTCTGTTGCACTTTACACATTATGTGTGAAAGAAATGTTTTTTCTCTAAGGGCTTGTCTACACTAACAATTTGTTTGCAACCAGCTGGGGCGTGAATCTATCCTGCATTATCCTGTCGTGGCCTAACTTCAGTAAAATCCCGTTGACGGAAAGTCATCATTCTCCTGTGTCCAGACCTTGTCTGTGCTCTCATCCACTTCATATCCATCCTGCAGCAATGCCCATCTCCCACTCCATTACCATCTCTCTTCCACCTTTAGCTCTATTCCAATCCCCACCATTTACAACTCAGTCCAGTACTCACCCCCTCCTTCCTACCACAATCAACCCCACTGCAATCCCCATTTACCCCACCTCTCACGCTTCACTCCAATTCCTACGCCATCATGAATTCCCATTGCGGTTGTCTCTGCTCCAGCACCCCGTCCCTAACCATCCAGCACCATTACCATCCCATTCCCACCTCCACCCCCACTCTGTTCTTCACCAGGTCCCCACCTCTAACCTGCTAAAAACTGCACTTCACCATTATCCTGATCTCCATCCATCAGCAATCTCCTATAGTCCCATCCATACAGATATCCCTCCTTCACCCTCACTCCAAGCCCCATCTATGTTCTCCTCCACCACAATCTCATCCTCTTCACCCTCAATCCAGGCCTCATACCAGGTCCTACTTCCCCAGTGAATCCCAACATAATCTCCATCCTGCCACTTTTTAATCCACCCCCTAATAAAGCAGCAGGCAATTTGTACATTTTATTTTACGAAGCCATTTTCCTAGAACCCAATAAACTACATTTTCATTAAGGAAGAAAAATCCAGACATACCCATATTCCCACTGCCAGGGTTACCAAGAAATAGAGGACTATGACCAAGATGTCTGCAGCGTTATTGATTTTTGTGGAGGAGTCCATCCTGCTTGCTTCTTCGGCACCCTTCCTTCTCCTATCCTTGTATCACCTTTTGCAAACTTGAGATAACAATAAACCCGTTATCCCCTGCTGTTTTGTTTAATATTTAACTTCAGATTCACTTATTTCCTATGGGGCGCAAGTTGAACCTGGTGCTTTTTCTTGAGCTGTGATTCCCACCAAAAAACTGCTCCCCTATTACAACTGTTGCAGTTTTCATAGGCAAAGGAAGTCCCCAGTTCACATCCGCTGCAGAAGGCGCTCAGTGCAGTTGTAGCCCAAGAGCAGGCATCTGGGAAGCAGTGAGCTGTAGAAGGAGTGGCGTGGCCATAACATACTCGGTGTACGCACCTCCCTGTTTGTGGATACTTTTTCTGCAGTCGTGGTTCCTGTAAATCTGGTCATGGAATGAATTGTTTCCTTAAGAACAGGCTGCTTACCAAGACCAAAGGAAGAGTGACCTGACAGTTAGGGAAACACCACGGTTCTCTGAGCTGACACTCCTACTATGCTACCCTCATTCCAGCAGGAATATACAATGGAGGTACAGCCCAGGATTTCTGGGAACAAGTCACTTTGATCTCTTACATCTAGATATTTACAGAAGTGTCTGAACCATAAAGAACTGGCTAAGGAACTTGCTGGACCGTTAATGTTGATTTTGAAAAGCCTTGGAACCCTGCGGAAGTTCCAGAAGACTGGTAGAAAGCTAAAGCTGTGCCAATATTTAAAAGGGGCAAACTGGATGGCCCAAGTAATTTTAGGCCGGTCAGTCTGACAGATCCTTAGCAAGATAATGAGTGACTGATGTGGTACTCAATTAATAAAGAATTAGAGGTGGATAATATAATTAATGCTAATCAATATTGGTTTATGGAAAACAGAGCCTATCAAATTAACTTGATTTTTTTACATGCGATTACAAGTTTGGTTGATAAAAGTAACAGTGTTAATGTAATACAATGGCTCTCAAAAAGTGTTTATATGGTAAAAATGAGAAAGTATTTATAAAATAAATCAACTGGAATAGAAATAATGTACTTATATTTCAGTGCATAGTATATAGAGCAGTGTAAATAAGTCATTGTCTGTATGAAATTTTAGTTTCTACTGATTTCGTTAGTGTTTTTTATGTAGTCTGTTGTAAAACTAGGCAAATATCTAGATGAGTTGATATGCCCCCTGGAAGACCTCTGTGTACCCCTGATTGAGAACCACTGATGTAATATACTTAGACTTCTGTAGGCATTTGACTTGGTAACAACCATATTTTGATTAAAATCTAGAACAATATAAAATTAACATGGCACACATTAAATGTATGAGAAACTGGCTAACTGATAGATCTCAAAATGTTACTGTAATGAGAAATCACCATCAAGCAGATGTGTTTCCAGCAAGATCTCACAGGGATCAGTTTTTGGCCCTATGCTATTTACCATTTTAATCAATGACCTAGAAGAAAACATAAAACCACCATTGATAAAGTTTGTAAAAGACTCAAATTGGAGGAATGATAAATAATGAAGAGGACAGGTCATGAATAGTGATCTGGATCACTTGGTAAGCTGGGCGCAAGCAAATAATATGAATTTAAATATGTCTACAGGTAAATCTACACTTTCTAGGAACAAAGAACGTAGGAGGTACTTAAAGGATGGGGGACTCTCTCCTGGGAAGAAGTCACTCTGAAAAAGATTTGCGGGTAGTGGTGGATAATAAGCTGAGTGTGAGCTTCCAGTGCATCGCTGTGGCCAAAAGGGCTAATGCAAACCTTGTACGCATAAACAAGGAAACCTCAAGTAGGAATAGAGAAGTGACTTTACCTCTGTATTTGGCACTGATGTGACCATTCCTAGAATACTGCATCCAGTTCTGGGGCCCACAATTCAAGAAGGATGTTGATAAATTGGAGAGGGCTCAGAGAAGAGCCATGACAACAATTAAAGGACTAAGTAGACTCAAGGTGATCCATCTATTTAGCTTAACAAAGACCAGATTAAGGGGTGACTTGATAACCATTTATAAGTACCTACATGGAGAACAAATATTTAATAATAGGCTCTTCAGTCTCTCAGAGAAAGATATAATGTGATCCAATGGCTAGAAGTTGAAACAAGACAAATTCAGACTGGAAAGAAGGCATAAAACTTTAACAGTGAGGGAAATTAACCATTGGTACAATTTACCAAGGGTTGTGGTGTATACTCCATAACTGGCAATTTTTAAATCAAGATTGGATGTTTTTCCTAAAGATCTTAAAAGGGTTTATGGGGAGTTCTATGCCTGTGTTATCCAGGTCAGACTAAATGATCACAGTGGTCCCTTGTGGCCTGGAATCTATAAATAAAGTTGAGATTCAGACATCAACATCCCAGAAGTGAACACAGTTCAGGCTGTTCAGAACCAGGGTTTTTGCTCTGCCCACTGTCACCAATTATCAAGTTATAATTCCAGATGCCAATGGCACCAAAGTTCAGCAGTGCTTAGGTCAGGTCCCATCTCCAGTTATTTATTCTTTCTTGGGCTTCAAAATTAAACCAAACAAAATGACCTGATGCAAAAGAGAACTCAGATGTGGGGCAGGTTGTGACTCAACAGAGTTTCTAAATCAGTCAGAAACAGACCATTAAAAGGGAAGTTTCCTCTGGAGATTCCTGTGATCATCTCTGATTGAGCAGGAGGTGGGTATCACAGCCATTATCAGAGGAGTGCAGGAAATGTAGGCAACAGGCACAGGCATGGGGGGCGGGTGCCATAGGCTGGGGGAGGCTGTGCCTCCCCAAACAGCCAGGCATGGCCCTGCCCACGCTCCGCCCCTAGCCCCACCTCCTGCTTCACGCTCTGCATGCAGCTCCAGTCTCCCAGTGCTGGCTCCAGCTGCACCACCCACCATCCTGGCTCTCCCGGGCTGGGGGAGGGCTGCGGCCGCATGCCACCCACCCTCCCGGCGCTGACGGCTAGCCTCCCCCAGCCAGCAGTTCACACCCCGCCCATGGGCACAGGTACAAGAATTTCAGGGCTCTGGGGATATTTGAAAAAGTGTTGTCTCTACCTCTACTTTGCCCCACGCAATCACAATTCATTTACAGTTCAGTAGACTGCCTGCCAAAAACTGATTGCCTCATGGCATTTATTCTAAACAGTACATACAAAGCACAATGGGCTTGATTGTGATCTTATACTGGTTATACATCATTGACTAGTGGAATTACTCCAGATTTTCAGTAGTGCTTGGAATCCTTTCCAAGGTATAATTGTTCTATGAGAGTTAGCCTTTTTTCCAGTAATTAATAGCTAAACAGGAGAGAGTGTCTATATCTAAAAGATCATCAGAAAGAACCATTAATCTGAAATTATAGCGTAAAAGAAGAACTCCATCTTTCTCATCTATACACTGCAATGCAATTTAAGCACCTACAAATTTACAAGATGCTGTCCCCCAATATTTTAGGCATCTCTTCTTCAGCAGAGACCTCAGTTTGTTCTATAAACAGGTTGTGAAATTACTAGTTTTAAATCCAATAGGGAAAAAATAATCCTAAAAGCTGGTGAGCACCCACAATTCTACAACATTTTGTAAACACAACCTCTCTGGTTGTCTGCTCCAGAGAAAGGTCTTATTTACTAACCCTACTTACTAGGCAACAGTTTGTCTAAGGTAGGATGTAGCTGGCTTTTCATACAAAGGCTGATGCAAATAGATTCCCATGTGTCCTTGTAACATGAATTGTTTCATTTTCACTCATTCTTAATTCATGAATTGAATTCCAGTTTCAGCTCCTGTAGCCACAACAAACTCTGACAAAAGAAAATAGGAGGTTCTTGGGCCTGATTCTCCACTGCCTTGCCCATTGCGTTGTCATCCACCCCTGTGCAAACTGTCACTAAAGAGACTGTAAGATGCTACTATTGGTATAAATGACTGTAGACTTCTGCTTTACACCCACTCCACACACTTTGGCCAGGTCTAGATGACTCCACAACATGCAAAGACAGGAGAGACTCAGACTGCTGTATTGGTTTGGTTCTGCTTTCTCCTTGTCAGGTACAGATGTAACTGAGACACTCATTACAGTGTCAGGAAAAGACTGGCTGTGATAATCACAATACTTGTGCCTCCATATCCTCCAGAACCTGCAGTTCATATGGAATCCCACAGAGGCATCGTACTCAGCAGAATGTCAGCACTGCACAGCCTTTCACACACAGCACAGACAAAGTCAGCCTGTGGAATTCACTGCTGCAGGTGATCTGACACTCAAGTACTCTAGCTGGTTTAAAACAAAAAAAAATCTGGCCAACAACAACGTTTGTATTTATGCATGCAAAGGTAGGAGCAAATAAAATTCATGCTGCAAAGTGGGAGCTTCTCAGCAGGGGGCAGGAAAGAGACTCCCACCCCACACTCCTGAGCAGGGCATTCACAATTAGCTTGGTCCATTACTGGACATTTTCATCTTCCTGAAACACCTGCTCCAAAACTAGGCTCTACTGTAGGGGTGGGCAAACTTTTTGGCCCGAGGGCCACATCGGGGTTGCGCAACTGTATGGAGGGCCAGGTAGGGAAGCCTGTGCCTCTCCAAACAGCCTGGCCCCTGCCCCCTATCCACCCCCTCCCACTTCCCGCTCCTTGACTGCCCCCCTCAGAACCCCCAACCCATCCAACCCCCCTGCTCCTTGTCCCCTAACCACCCCCTCCCAGGACCCCCACCCCCATCCAACCTCCCTGCACCCTGACTGCCCCAACCCCTATCCACATCCCCGCCCTCTGACAGGCCCCCCCGGGACTCCCACTCCAAACCCTCCCTGTTCCCCATCCCCTGACAGCCCCCCCAGAACCTCTGCCCCATCCAACTGCCCCCTCCTCCCTGACTGCTCCCCAGGACTCCCCGCTCCCTTACCCAACCCCCCCGCTCCCCGCCCCCTTACCAGCAGCAGGAGGTCGCAGCCACGACACCTGGCCAGACCCAACTGTGCTCCCCACGCTGCCCAGTGGGAGCGGC